CCGCGGCCTTCCCTGGCAGCTGCGGCTCATCCCTCGCGTCCTCCTCCGCCGCTCCCTTCCTTCCTCCCTTCCCTGTCCCTGCGGTTCCCCCTCGCCGCGTGGCTGGAGCAGAGCTGTGCGGGACGCTCAGTGCTCCCTCTCACCCCTTACAGGAGTCCCTGTTCCCTGCTCGGGTTGTCTACGACCTCCTCTTCTTCTTCATTGTCATTATCATCGTCCTCAACCTCATCTTTGGGGTCATTATTGACACCTTTGCTGATCTGAGGAGTGAAAAACAGAAGAAGGAGGAGATCCTGAAGACCACCTGTTTCATCTGTGGTGAGTGCTGGGAGGGTTGGGGAAGGAAAAGGATTTCAGCTGTTTCTGGGCCTTATTTCCCCCTGCAAACTGAAATCTGTTCATGGAGGGATTGCTGCAGTGTGAGAGGCTCAAACAAGGACAGAACCCAGAGGGGAAATTCTCTGTGTTGTTCTCACCCTGATAACGAGGTGTTAAACCAAACCAGTTGTGAGGTTCTGGTCTCTGTGCATCTCACTCCTGAGACCTTTCCCTTAGCCAGTGGGAGGGGAACAAGCAGCATATTACTAAAGAAGTAAAATACAGGCAATATTCTGGAATCCTTTCAGCCACCAGAAGGCATCCAAAAAATAGGGGGAGCCCAGAAAGTCTTGCTGCTGTTTCCTTCGAAGATCCTCTGGGTGTGTTTCATGTGTTTGCTGCTCACTTCTCCCTTCTCCTCTCCCCATCCCCTCCCTCCCCTCTGTCCTTCGCTGCCTCTCCCAGGGCTCGAGCGGGACAAGTTTGACAACAAGACTGTGTCCTTTGAGGAGCACATTAAGTACGAGCACAACATGTGGAACTACCTGTACTTCATCGTGCTGGTGCGGGTGAAGAACAAGACAGACTACACGGGCCCTGAGAGCTACGTGGCACAGATGATCAAGGTACTGCTGCCCTGGGGCAGCCCCAGGGACGGGGAGACAAGGCTGGCCAAGGGAGAGCAGTTCTCAGAGCTCCTGGAGCACATCTAGTCACGCTGCAGTGTCCTGAGCTGGTGGTTTCCACGTGGCAGTCGCAGCCAGAACCACATGGTCTGTCTGACGTTTGGGTCCACGAGTTCCAGGGCTGAACCAAGCGAGGGGAGAGTGGCTCCAAGGGGGTTTCGAGGCAAGGGAGGGAGAGGGAGCTGAGGAAAGAAACAATTCTGCATTTGAGCCCAGAAGGCTGCAAGGAACAGACTAGAAACAGACTATTTGTGGCAGATGATATTTGCAGAGCTTTGACTGGCTCAGCAGGCCCTCCCTGTGAGACCCTCCCAGTCTCTTCCCTCATCCCCCATCTCTGATTCAAAAAGGACTTGGTCTGGGTCCCCGGGAGGCGAGCCATGTCGCTGGTCAGCAATGAGGGGGAAGGGGAGCAGAACGAGATCCGCAATCTGCAGGACAAGCTGAACACCACCATGAAGTTGGTGTCCCACCTCACCTCCCAGCTGAGCGAGCTGAAGGAACAGGTAGGAGCCGTGGGGACAGGCAGAGCAGACAGCGAGGGCAGGGAGCTCTGTCTGTGGCCCTGGGGACAGGTGGGGTGGCAGTGCCCCTGGGAGGGTGCTG